TGTGCTTGATGTGTGTTTAAAAAAAAACGCTGCTTCTTCAGACTTGAACTTCCTGCCAAATGACCTTAAGAGTCAATGATCTTTTTAGAACCTCTAATGGATCCTAATGAGGCATATGTGTAACAAAACAATTGAATTAAAAAACGAGTAATTCATTTAATTTGATAAAAGCTATGACATTTTCACATAACGTTGTATTCTGCAGTTTCAGATGTTGTCACTAGGGGGAGGCAAAGGTCTGAAGAAGTCAAATTAATCACTTATCAATACAGTATAGAAATAGAAAACTAATGCAAAAATAAAGTCAAGAAATGTCAAGATTTATGTTTTTATATTTTAACTGTGGTTTGTGGTTGTTTTCTAAAAAAAGAATATAAATAAATCTACAAACTGTAAAGAAAAAAATACATTATTATTTTTTATCACTGATGGTTTTCCACAGTGGAAAAGATCTAACGTAGGTGTTTGGGGGGTTTTTTGTTTTGTTTTTAACAGACAGACTGGTTAAAGAACAGAGAGCAGAGCTTTGTTGATGGAATGTAGCGAGTCTTTGAAGTTTGCACTGGACCAGCTCCATTAGAAACAGGTGTGCGTGTGTGTGTGTGTGCGCGTATACGTTGAATGTGTGCCCTCCTTTCACACACAATACATAGGACTATGATCAGCCGGATCTTTAATTAGATAAGTAGATAATAACAATAATAATTAGATTAGAACTTTTACCTAAACATGATAATAAAATGTTCAGCCAGGAAACAACAATGGATTTAGCGTAGCTTGAGTTAGCATAAAAGTTGCTCAAAGAACAAACCACAAATAGCTAACGTCACCGGTTCAGTTGATGAGGATGCCAGGTGATCGTCCCTCCTCCTCTTTAATGTTCTTCAGGTTGTTCTCTGCTTCATCCACAGTGCTGCAGGACAGATGCACAAACCGCTCGTGAAATTTGGAAAAATCAAAACAGGCCGAGAATGACGAGAGCTTCGAGTGCAAATTCCTTCCTACGTTAGAAAATCCCTGACGTCCTCCACCGTGAGTTCTCCGGTGGTGTCGAGGGTGAGGTCAGCACAGCTGAGGGGTGAGTCAAGTGGTGTGTCCAGGAGTGGAGAGGACAGAGAACTGGGCAGCTCTTCTGTTTGGCCTGTGAGAGAGAGAGAGAGAGGTCCACAGAGGTATGAGATTATGTCTGTTCATACATGTCTAATGTAGTGGGCGTTACTTCCAGAAACTCAAAAATGACTAAATTGTTTAACTAGAATTAATAAAAAAAACATTGCTTGTGCGTGGGCAGTAATAAACGTCTTGAGTTCAGTGTTAGAAAGTGCTCTTGTCTCCATAACAACCATTATTTCCTCCAAGGAGAGAGAAGGAAAGACACTTAAATGAAAGAAAAATGTGTTTTAAAACCTACCCTCAGCCTGACTCATCTGGTTCTTGTGGGTTCCATTGGCCTGCAACTGCATCATAGGATCACTAGGGGGACACACGAAGGCATACCATAAGTTTCCGCAGCATATGGAAGGATAAGCAATACCAGTGAAAGCGTCATCTCCCTCGATTTACACTATGAACTGTAGTTTTAGGCTGTGGCTGCGCCCCACGTCTTGGTTGTCTGTTGTTTACATTGAAAGTATCACTAAACAGTCATAGCTGTCTCTCTACTCTCACCTGGCAGGTGTGAGATCAAGCGGTCGGTCCAGCTGGATAGAGAAAAGTGGCTCAGTGATGACTTTAGCAGACAGTGAGAACCTCTCGTACTCGGAGGGAGAGATCAAATAAAAGCCTGGAGTAAGGAATAACATCACAAGGGAAAGTTAGGACTAGAAGTGTGAACTTGATGTTAGTATGTTCAATTTGTTTGACTTCTACTTTATTAGACCAGGTCTACACTGATTACAGGTCCAGTAATCAGTCAACAACACAGAGTTTCTCATTAATCTCTCTTGCTCTTCTTCCCTTTTCTTTAAAAACATTGCAGGACTCACTCAGCTGACATGCACCAGATACACTTACAGTACAATATAAACATGGGAGGTGCACGAGCTTCAATCTGTCAATACACTACATATTGACTGTGTACAGGCCTAACCTGAGGATAGAAGTGCCGAGAGTTCTAAATGTTTGGAAATCAAAACATTCAGATTGACTTAATATAAAAAAAAAAATTGAACAATTTCATCTGGTGCTGCAGGAATACAATCTGAATATAAAAAAACACTGATGAAGCGTTTCCTCCTCACCCTCTCCATTCCTGGTGAAAACACAGGACGCAATTCCACTGATGTCCTCTTTGCGAATGCAGTCGTATCGAACCTGAAAACACAAAAAGTACATCAATAAACAAACAATACAGCACATCGTCTTTAAAATAATACAAACAAAAAGAAAAACACATGACTACACAAAAAGTGCATCAATAAACAAACACAACAGCACAATGGTCTTTAAAAAAACCCACAAGACTCACCTGTGGTCGGAGGCCTGGTATGTTATAGAGGTGCATGTCGCCCATGTTGGTCAGACACACCAGTGTGTGTTCACTGTAGTCTTCCTGAGCCGTGGAGCTGAAGATCACCAGCGCCACCTTCCTCACCCGACAGCCTTCATGCGCCGTCAACTTGAACTTTGTTTTGGCGCTGACCTTAGGAAGAGAGAACACCTGGGAAGACAGAGAAGAAAGTAAAGATGTAAATGTGTTTGAATATTTCTTACACTTGTTTTAATCCTTGTGATTTGCACCTTGAGCTGTTCCTCTGATGCGATGAGGACAGAGTGAGCGTTGGTCATGTCCGGTGCGATGGCGAGGTCCTGGGAGGCTTCGTACGGCTCGGGTAACGGTTTCCCTCGACCGTCCAGCACTGAGATGGACACCACCGGCGCTCTGTGCATCAGCTGAATCTCTTTACCCAACACTGCCTCCACACACAAGCTGGTCTCACTGGCACCAACCCGGTCACAGACACGACCTAAGCCCACACCGGGCACCTCCAGAGCGTAGGCGTACACGCTGCCTGAGTTGGTGCCTGCCCATAACGTGGGGCCGTGGTGTGTGCCTGGAATGTGATGACACAAATGTTATTTCAATATATATTCAATACTTAACAAAAAACAGGTACATTTTAATAAGTACATCATCGCACCATCACGTAGAAAGGTGTCGGCAAAGCACAGACATCTAACCACTCCAGTCAGTGAGTCGTCTGCTGATCGAGGTTCGATCCTCCTCTGTACAGGAGCCACTTCCTCCTGTTCTGCTAGGGCTGCATTGGCCATTTGGACCTGCACACGTTACACAGTTCCCACAGAAGTTTAACAGATTCCCGATTATACAATATGTGTAACAACCAAGAAGAACAGAGTTGTTCACCTTGCTGGTAGGTGTGGTGATTGTGCGTTTCTTCCCCGACACCCTGCTCTTGCGGATTCGCCTGAAGCTCTGCCGTAAAGATTTTTTTAAGGACTTGACTCTGGACAGGGGACCCTCCATTGCTAGTGAGTCGTTAGGATGTAGTGTACATCTGTGGAGGAGCAGAGGGTAAGCTTCTGTGTTCAGGTGCGATGAACACAAAAATAAATATTTATTCATCCCAAAGCTGTGTTTGTGTGCCTCTCACCTGGCTAACACAGCGTTTCGTCTGTGGTAATCGAACAAACCGAAGCCGTGGCTCGTCCCAAAGGAGATGAGGTTCCATTCTGCATGCAGCGCTACCGCCGTGACAGAGGCCGGGGGTAGGCACTGCACAAGTACCAGAGGCTGGAAGCCTGGAGGGAAGGGAGCGGGCTTTAGACGTGGCTCCAGTCGGTCGTGACCCTTCCAGGTGAAGCCCTCCCTGTCCTGCAGGAGATCGACCACCGACACGTCCACCAGGTGGTCCGACTGCTCATCATTCAAACCCAAAACAATCACCTGGACAAACAAACAGTACATATACAGTTCAGATCCTTCATCTGTTAAATTATGATTTCCAGTCATAGTGATTTGTTTTGACAAAATTCCATCTCCATTGACATCTAGCCCAAACATTCCATCATAAAATCCATAAATCGGGTGATGACCAGACAAACTGCAGCTGCATATTTAACATAAACACAATTCTCCTATGTGTTTTTATGCATCTATCGTGTACATCTTCACCTGTCCAGACGTTCCAGCCACCACCAGCTTGTTGCTGTATTTACACAGACTGATCTTCTGGATGCCCAGTCTGGGGTCATCACTGTACGGGTCAAAACAGCCCACCTACACACAGACAAAAACAAAAAATAGATGGATAAAAGTTTTCATTGTGGTTCCACGACAAAAAATAGGTGGATAAAAGTTTTCACTGTGGTTCCACGTCTTCTCGTTTTCCTGAATCCAAACCAAAACCTGTTCCTGCAATTCCTACGTTGTCATGTAGAAAAAAAAAATATATATATATAGGCCACTGATTAATCCCGTTTGTGCCGCTTGATCAACAAAGTACCAGTAGAAGTTCTCCTGCAGCAGCAAATGCCAAGACAACCCCCTGCCCCCCGTTTCCCTTCACACAAACTCAGCACAACATGTGCAATAATGTCTCTCACACACTCATACACACACACACACGCTGATACACACGAGGAAGGAATTCCAAAAGAATCTCCTCTTGCATGGGAGCTGTATCTTGGCAAAACAAGGAATAGAAGGTTGGTCTCACACACACACACAGAGAAGAGAGAGTAGAGTGGGCTGATTGCTCTGGTTTTCATTACTGCATAAAAAAGAAAAAAAACCCACTTCATCCCATCTGAGGACCACATTCCTGAACACACAGCTCTGTTACCACAGGATACATGGGGAAAGGTGGACTGAGGGGTGAAGAGGAAGAAAAGGAAAGGGTGAGGAGAAAAACAATAAAGGTTTAAAGGGTGTGTGGGAGTGTGTGGTCAAAAAATGTGTTCAGTTTGGTCAATGTTACAGTGGAAAAAAATGTTTCTTCCAATATTTGAACCAAAATGATACTTTACTTTACTCTTATTTTGGAAATTCAGTCACACTCTTGGAGCTGTTTGATTCACATATTAGTTTAGTCTTTTGATTCTTGGCCCATCTTCGTTTCATGTCAGCGCACTCGAAAGCCAAAAAGCACAGCCGCGCTCCCTCAGCATCAAGAGTTGCCTGCCAGGGCTGAAAAACTCAATTCAAATATAATTCTGTGCAGATCCTTCAAACAGAATCTGACTGCGGTTGCTTCAGAGTCAAGTTTTAATAAGACGAACAACTGGGTGGGTCTGTCTGAAAACCAAACACATGGAAGCATCCAGATGGGGGAAAACTGGGCCACAATTGTGTTATTACTGAACCCAGTGTGTGTATAAAACTCTCATGTCGAATATGAGGAGGAAAAGAAAAACTTTAACCGTCACATGCTCAGAGCTCATCGAGCGTTCTCACCTTTCTGAACGGAGGCCATTCGTCTTCCTGCTGCAGGTCGGGGTCGTGAGGGTCATCGCTGGGGTCACAGTCGGTGTGGAAGACGTTGGCTGTGCTAAGTTTGTACAACGGAGTGAGAGCGACACCAGATGCGTCCCAGAAGCGAACGGTGCCGTCTTCATGTCTGCGAACACACAGTGTTTAATGACATTGACATGGAAGGGTTTTATGGGTAAAAAAAATCAGTCAGGAATAGGAATGTGTCAGGAATGTGTTTGCAGCTACTGTGCAACTGTGTCATAAAGAGTAAAACTTATTTACATAAATTATAAAGCACTTATAAACGACTAATTAGCCTATTATTCTTCAGCCGCTGGTCAAACTGACGCAGAACAAGGTCATTAAACAGTAGCTCAGGAACAGTACTTAGAACTAGTCTGCAAGTCCTGGTCTCAGTGCAAGGCACATCCAGACCTATTCAGTCTTTCCAGGTGGTTCTATTTAGAATCATCTCCTGGCAGCTTGAGGTACCGTTAAATTACTCGAAAGCATCAGGTTTTTGTCAAGATAAAAAGAAAATGCACCGGCAGAGCGGATTTCTTCAATGTATTTTGTGTGTGTGTGCCTGAGTGTTTGAGTATTCGTGTGTGTGTGTGTGTTTTTCTTAGATACCCTGTCAGCAGAAGCTCTTGGTGTTTGGGTGGAGGAGCCAGGTTCTTCCCTCCACATATGGGCCAAATCTGCACAAACAAAAATTGGACAACATTTAACTGTGTATTAGGGACAAAAAATGCAGAAGAAAAGTCTGACCCAACAAAAAAAAAAACGTTATTTTTACCATGAAGCCACCAAATAGCAGCTATTTCAGCAGTAGGAATAAACACTTAAAGAATAATGGATGGATTTTATGACAAACCTTTTTATTCTTGTAAAAATAAAATTAAGACAAAAGAACTGAAGGGTCCCAAGGTCAACAGGGGAGAAATTGAGGTTTGTCATTATTTAAAAGTAACCCACAATTCAATTTGAAATAAATAAATAAATAAAAATCACGCTGCTCACCTTGTTTCCCCTTTGGCAGCCCTGCTGGACTTTACCAGCATTGATTAACCTCTCCCACAGTTTAGGAGGGACGTGGGAGATGTGGCAGGAGCACGTGATGGCTGAAGAGTGAAGAGGAGCCAAGTAAGGTGAAGGGAGCGACGGCCACCCTGGGGTTTGGAGGTCAATGACAACCAGCTCCTCTTCTAATAGCACAACCAACGCTGTGGGGTCATCAAACACTTTAAACACAAGAGACGATAAGAGAGAGAGAGGGAGAAACAGAGGGAGGGAGATTGTGAATTGATTTTTCCTTGTAAATTAAATTCTCTGGGAAAGACAACGACTGTCGGGAAACCACCGATACAGATCAGTGACATCACCTATGTCCTCACCTTTCTCCTGCTCTGTGCTGTGGACAGTGAAGAAATCGATGACCCGAGACGTGAAGTCGAGAGTGACGTGGTCTTTGTCCTGCTGGATGGTCAGGCAGTGGCGGTCACCGTAGCTGGCTCTGGGCATTCCTCCACTGTATAACATCAGTGGAGAACTGGAGCAACACAAACACACATATATATATATTATTAAATAATTACTACTTTCTTTAAGTCAGGACTTCATCAATATCAATTGGCAACAATCACATTCTCTAATATAGAAACAAAGGTTCAGGTTTATTACCCTGTGTGTGTTGTTCTCCACAGAATCTTGCTGATAGCCTTGCAGGGAAATGGACCTGGTATTGATTGAAAAACATAAAAAATATACATTACAAAACCTTCACAAACAGACAAATTGAAAGAAGCAAAAAAAAAAAAGTGGTTTAGCATCAGAGCAAACTCAAGTACCGTATTTTCCAGACTATAAGTAGCAACAGCTAAAAATGCATTATAAAGATTACCGTATTTTCCAGACTATAAGTAGCACCAGCAAAAAATGCATTATAAAGAAGAAAAGAAAACATATAAGTCGCTCTGGAGTGTAAGTTGCATCGGTGCCCTCTAGTGGCTGTCAGCGTGAAAATAACAAACGTGAAATTTTATTTTAATATATAAGTCGCACCTGAATAAACCAGCTATAGGATGAAAAAAAAAGTGTGACAGTGTGGAAAATATGGTGATTGATAATTAGTGCCAACTCTCATTATAAAGTGTAGTCATTAAGTTTTGTTACAATGTCAAAATAATTTAGAAATAATATAGAAATGTTGACTGACACTTGACTGTGGTTTGTCTCAGTTCTTGTCTCTCAGTAGGACATCAGCACTTTCTATCGACTACTGTGCTAAAACAGACCCCCCCCCAAGATAAAGACCCTGCCTGTCACGCCGACTGACTATGAGCTACAATAAATCACCTGATGGAGCTCATTTTGCTCGTGTCAAACACAAGACATTCACCCTTTGTGCCAAACCGCTCTGTCCCACAGCTCTGGCTGACAATGGGCTCCAGCATGTGCCTGTAAAATATAATTTAAGCTGGGAAACCCAAACACGCGTGCTGTGCGTATTTTGTGTGCATTTCTCACCATATGGGATGGTGGTGGAGGCTGGCTGCTGACTGTAGGTGTTGCCCGTGGTTACGGGCCACACAGAGTAGCCCCCGTCGTTGTGCGAACTGACAAATAAGTTTCCAGAGCGTTCCCACACCAGGCTCTCCAACTGCTGCGGGGGAGACAATCAGGCTGGATTAAAGTACATCTGCAGCTTAAAATGAAACGTACACGTTTACCACGTGTAACTAATGACCCTTCTGTTCCTGCAATGGAGGATAAATCAAGAGACTGAATCCTACTTTGTTACCTGTTTTCCCAGGAATATCTGTTCAGTGTGGCGAGTGTGCAGGTTCCACAGCACGACGAGGCCTCGACTGTAGCCAATCAGAATCTTCCCTGACTCCTGAGGATGTTCCTGAAGGGATTCCACAGGCCCTAAAGATTTCCCACACCTGTAGTCATCTGGCAGACTGCAACAACAGTAAAAAAAAAAAAACACGATGAGTCGTTAACTTTAAAACATATCTGTGACATAATCGTCCGTTATATGAAACTAAAAATGTTTGGTCTCTGAATAACTTTAAAACATATCTGTGACATAATTGTCCGTTATATGAAACCATGAGGGGTAGAATACGACTAATTTATAAACGCAGTACTTATTTATACTTGATATATTCTGACTTGGTCGTATCATATGACACCGTATGATACTGTGGTGCATATTAATAGTCAAGAGTCTTCAAGAATAAGTTCAAACGATAAACCATCTACAGCTGGCTGCTCTGACAACGACACAAACAACAGAAATGCAACATCAAGCAGCAGCTGAGTTATCGCAGCGTCTGTGAACCACACATTCCTCGGAGACAGAAAGGAATGTGGAAGAGGACACACCCTCAAGATGTCAGAGGATTCCCCTCAGCAAAGGACAGGGGAGAAGACAAGAGGAGGGAGGCGGCTGAGACCTTCAACCAGTGAAAAGCCAACAAATTAAATGGGGAAGGGAAACAAAGCTCAGCAGCTTTTAGGGGTTTTAGATCGTAATTTAAGCAGAAAAATAAGAGGGACAACTGTGTCAAGAGACACACAGAGGGAGCACTGAGTGAGCTCCTCTCCCCGGAAGCTCAGACTCACAAAGCATTCCACTCTCGCCGTCTCCCTGTTAACTAGCATTTTCGGGGAATGCAGCATCCTGCTACAGAGTCCCGGTGATGAGCCTGGAGCGTGTATGTGTGTGTGTGTTTTTAGGAGAAGCAGCTGAAGCGCTTCCCCAGCCGGAACACCACAATTTGGCCACTGGTACAAAGCCTCACTGTCTGGAAACTCTCCTCCTTTTTCAGACACACACACACACAAACGAAGGCATGCTCACAAACGCTCACACACACACACACACACCTTATCAGGGCCTTCGTTAAGCTTCAGTTCTGCCCACTTCCCTAAACAAGGCTGCTTAATGAGAGGTTTGTCCAAACTGTCAGACAGTCAGAGCAGAATAAATAGGAAGCACAGCAGCGGCTCTGTCTTATTCTGCCAAAGCATCAACACAGGAATGTTGCAGAAACGCAACAACGTGAAGAAAACAAAATACGATTTCAGAACTCTTTGCGGACACAACGTTCCCACGACAAAGACACATTAGCAGTAAGTTATTTTTCTTTTGGATGGATTCAGAAAAATCCATAATTTCTTATCTTAAAGTAAATGTCTACAATCATCTATTATCTCAACACGCTTGGACCAATCACGTGTTGAGAAGTCAACAACAATAACATTCGACCACCGCTTCAGTCGGCTGAATATTTCCACACTTGACTGCATGAACATGAGAGGATAAAGAAAACAATAAACAAATTGCAGACCTCAACTTCTCCATTTGTTGTTAAAGGTCTATAAAATATCTGTCTTCTTTTTTTTTTTAAGTGCATTTTATGAACTGTCCGTATTCTTTTACACCACCCTCTGTTGGTTTTGGACATACACATCCTTACATTTCCGTTGCACACCTTGTTCAAATATCTCCTGCCCATGTCTAAACACATAACCATATCCTCCATACCCATAACCCATTTTCTGCTGCATCTGATTCCGAGCTTTGAACACACGCCACAATCCATCAACTTGACACTGTGAAAGTCATTCCTGGGCTTTTACAGTTCCTGGATGTCTTTTCCTCCAACCTTTCATCTCCCTAACTGTCTTCTCATGGTCCCTGAACCACATGATCCTGACCTGCCTGCTGCTTTTGGGGTCAACGGGAAAACAGTCTCAGCATGTCGGTGTGTGTTTGACCCCATCAGCTGGAGCTGAATAGAGGAAAAAGAGGAGTGTTTCCAAAGAAGACATGCTGTGAATGTGACGGAGGGATGAAAAATAGACAAAGTACAGTTAAGGTAATAGTTTGAGCAGAGAAAATATGATTAGATAAATAAGAAAAGTTTTCTTTTTATTTTTTTATTTCTACCAAGAGTAACTCCAGCAGTATTCTTTCAGAATACATGAAAGTCGTCTTTAAATCATGTTTTCTGATTGACAACCCTCTCAGTGATGAAGAACAGCCTCACCTCTGTGTGATCTGATCCTGAAAGAGCGTTTGGTCCTCTTTCAACGAAAGACGGGGCAACTGGAGGAAGTACACGCCTCCACCCTCTGTTCCGATGCTGACCACATCACACGACCTCAGCAGGAGGAGAACGGTGACCCTGGTAGCACTGGCAAGAAGCAGAAAAGTATGAGGATGAGTACAGGTGCTCTGACCCCTGAAACTCTTTCCAGCAACTTTTGGTCAACAGTGTGGTGAAGTGGTTGGCACTGGTGCAGCACAATAAAAAGATTAATTTAAAACAAATAAAAGAGGTTAGATACCTGCAGCTCTCAATACCAGGTCTTCCAGGGAGGCTGTAATTTCCAACTTCTTGGAGGGCGACCACACCCTCTTTCCTAACCCCACCCACTTCTCGGGGCATCCCAGCCACCAACTCCCACAGGTGAATGGTGTTGTCGTCCAGCAGGGACAGCAGACGACCCTAAAACACAGAACAGAACAGAACAGGTCGACGCATTATTCTCTGTTGTCACGTTTCACTCTGTCCGTTGCTGCTTGTTGTGCGGGGCTCACCTGTCCAGGCAGAAAGTGGATCTGCGTGACTGCTGTAGTGTCCTTGTGTAGTCCTGTGATTTCAACACCAGGGGCGCCATAACTGTAAGGAACAGGTCAAGGAAACGCAGGAAGGACAAAACCAAGACAAAACTGTGCAACTTGCTAAAGAACAGCAGACAGAACAGTCAGAGTTTTCGATTACAGTATGTTGACGTCAAACTAATGTGGAAAAAAAAAATACCAATAGTATTAGTTTCCTTATAATGAGTCATAATGACCACACCACCAGGTAAAGTGCGAGATAAAACCCTAACCCTTACAGACAGAAATAACAAAAGAATTTTTTAGTTCTTAACTCACACTCAATTATAATATTCAAGTCAGTGAACAGAGTTTTAAACGGCGGCTGTGAGCTGTAGCTGTAAAGCAGAACAAACACACTCCTTCGGTCTAATAGCAGGGGAAGGACCCTTTGACAAAGCTCTCAGCAATTACCAACAGCGGATGACGCAGACGCCTTAAAATCCGCTGCTGTGCGAGTGTGAATGTGTGTAATCAGCAGCCAATCTTCACAGAGCTGCTGCTTTGTTAGTCTTGTAAACGAAGCCGAGCCGATACAGTAAAGACTGCTCTCCAGAAGGACCACGCCAATTATACAGCAAGGCTAAATTTGGCTGAACCATGAATTAGCATGCACGCACGCAGCCTGTACTGTACGTATGTGGGTTCAAATCCAGCAAATTATGAGAATTTGAGAATTATTGGGTTCAAATCCAGCAAATTATGAGAAAATCTTAAGAGATTGTATTGTTTATAAAACTCTAAACACAAACCATTTTTTTTGCTATATGCTATTCATGTTACATATGCATTTTATCTCCTGTTCATTTCTTATTAATCATTTATGTTTTAGCACCAGGCAAATCTGATTTTCAATCAGAAATGAACTTTTTTTTTTATTTAAATCAGCCCACAGCACTACCACCAAAATGAAGCCGACTTCAGCAGCAATAGCCAAAGAGTTAAGCCCTCAAACATCATTGGCTCCTAAACTTATGTTCTAGCACTTTCTTTATTTTCATTCATTCTTTTTTCACCTCTCTGTGTGTGTGTTCTCCAGATCTAAAATTCCCCAAGACAATTTTCACCTCTTCCACTGTAAACGTTCAACACTGGACTCACTCATCGCTCTCTGTCCTGATCCACCAGAGGCTCTGGCTGAGTGTTGTACCAACATTCTTTGGCTGCAGTCACTTCCTGTCCATAGGCTTTATTTGCTGTAATAATACATGCTCCAGACAGCTGGAGCTGGAAGGGTGTGAGGAGCACTCACCCATGGGTCATGAACCACATGTACGGTAATGGAAGCGACAGAGAGGGGGAAAAAAAAAGAGACTTATGTGAGGCAAATCTAACACAGCACAGTAACTGGAACAACCAGACCGTCATATGAAGATTGATGCCACAGCCACGCAGCCAACGGTCGCTCCGCTCAGACGAGAGAGTTGGAACTACAGCCAACGGTCGCTCCGCTCAGACGAGCAAAGAGAGCTGGAACTGAGGGAAATCAGTGGGTATAACCAAAGGTTTTCCCTGAACTGACATTGGTGTATTTTTAAATTTCCAGCTAGTTAACATCAACTGAATCATGAACGAAAAAAAATCTAAGAACCATTTTATGGCTCGAGTTATTTGTTGATTAAAAAGAAAAAAAAAAAAACTTTTTCAACCTGATCTTAAATACATCTTACACCAAGATACTTTATTTGGAAGGTGTTGATTGGTTTAATTTATAGATATATTAATCAAAATGAATGGCAGGTTAATATTTTTTCCAGATAAAAAGAGATGAAATGAAACAACGTGATGAAGAGTTCAGTACATCATCCCTGTGATACGTCTCTACGGCATTTCCGGCTGCTGGTGTTTTGATAACAGTGTTAATTCAAAACTGCGATGGTAAAACTATTCAGAAAGTATGAACTCCCACTGAACTCCAAGTTTTTACACAGGACAACTGTACCCAGAAATGACGTGAGGAATCAAACAAAGGCAGAAAAAAAACCCCCAAAAAAACCTTTTACTGGCGTAAGACTCACCAGATTATTTCTGTAAAGCCTTTGTATGTACAGTACAAACGTCACATGCATTTGTCTACTTGATAAGGAGGATTGATTTGTATTATTGTTTCTGTCTCCCCCGTGTTTATCTTTGTGATGAGTCGACGTTTAAACACCGCAGCCTCACAATCATTTTCCTCTCTGTTGAACTGTTGACAGACTGTTTAGTCTGGGGACTCAAACTTCTCATCCTAAATCTAATCCTACACCGCGTGTTGCCATTGTTTTTTTTCCCACTTACATGTTGCACCCGCTCAAGAGCCTGGTGGTCATTAATCTTGTGTCGACTACAACACCTGACCTTTTAACCACTTTTTTTTTGCAGACTATGACCAAGCTCAAAGCTGGTATTTCCATCTCCTCTGTCTATACCAACAGAGAGAGAGAAAATATATATATATACAGCTGAGTGAAAACGATTGGGGGGACTGAAAACACATTTGCACTGGTGGTTTGTGCCCGAGCAACCGCAGCAGAGTCATGGCAGATCTGTGCACAGCACTTTCTCCAAATTTAAACTGGCTGTGCAAGGAGATGTGCAAAGAAAGCTGTCAGCGTGCGGAGAAAAAATAAAACCACTAATAGCTATTTAGGACTGCCAGAGCCTTCACATTTGACCGGTCTCTAGCACCTTTGACAGGAACCAGGCCACGACCAGCTCCGGTTTCACACTTTGTCAAACCCCGGCGACCAAGTAAGTTTGTCTGACCATCGGCTTTAATGAAAGGCAGATTCTGGCATCTTAAAAATATAAGAGCGAATTGAAACGAAAGGCGTTTAATGAGAACGTGGGGGACAAAGGTCAGACCAGGCACATGGTTTAGAAATGACACACACACACACACACACCACACAAAACACATTTCCTGGTCATGGTGATGTCAGAGGACAGCTGGTGGAGGTTTTCCCATGATTCAGTGAGTGTGTATGTGTGTTCCTGGTACAACTATACACGTGGGGACATTGTTTAGTTTTTTTTTTGTCTTTGTTGGGACATTTTGCCAGTCCCCACTGAGAGTGAGTGTGTGTGTGTGTGTGTGTGGTCACTGGTCTATATTTCCTCCACAGGGGGGCACACAATGAGGAAGTCATCATTCGTTCATGCTTCAGAAACAACTCAGCAGTTTTTTTTTTTAAATGAGCTCATGGTCATGAGGCGTGTGTAAAAGTGAGATCATTGACCGTCAGTGATGAGAAAGTAAGAGGTCACCAGGTCTCAAACAAATATATCTCATACAAATGTCAAAAATAATTTTCAGCCAGAAACACTGTTTCCAAAGTCAAGTTCCTCTCCTGACTAAATACTTTGTAATTAACTAAAAGACATACAAAAAAAGTGACAAATAAAAGACGACGTAAATGTATAATGCCACCCTGGTAGAGTGAACAACATCCATTGTTCATTGTTACTCCAACACCTTAATTCACATTCAAGCACGTACAGAACACTAAACCCTAAATAAAGTCGGAGCTAAGCTGAGAAAACACTTGACACAAATCAAGTCCTTAAAACAAAATCTCCATGAAAAACCACGAACCATGAAAGTCAAACAACAAGAGCCGTGAGAGCAAGAAAGAAAAAAACACAACCCAACAGAGTAAAATCATCTGAGGAACCTGTTGAATGACACATTGGTTTAATGATGTTTAAGTGTGCACGGAAACCATTAGTCAACCTGAACGTCTGACTAAAAGAACGAGCTTCCACACTGGTCCCCACAGAGAAGCTGGAGGAGCACACAATGGGGGCCTACAGTAACTCACCAACACACACACACACAACAACCCTCCCACCCACACAAAGTGTGCAATTGCCCGCTGATGCAGAGAGAGCGTTAGCAAACATAAAGCGATTTCACGGTCTGAATACAGACAAACACAAGGCATTGTCCTCCGTGAGGGGGACAGAGACAACCGGCAACACACAAACATGGAGGTGAAAGTAGACGAGCAAAAAAGAGACTGGATCACTACACCCCAGAATGACTGTGCACATTTTGCAAACACAAAGAGAAAAAGTAAAAGTTTAGATAATAATCCCAGATGATAATAAAAAAAGGCAAAACTGTTTTGCTAAAAACTAAACACGCAGTCACAGATGCTTCGGACGTCTGACAAAAGGCAATCGACAACACGACAAGCCAAACAACTCCACCCAGCCACTAGAGAAACAATCTGGTCTCATTTGCATCCTCCCCCCCCACCCCCCACCCCCTGTCAGTGCCTCTCACACTCCCACTCTTTAACCTCTCTGTCCCACTCACACAACAGCAGTCGACACCATATGTAGTCACTGATGTACGGCTCGCTGCAAACTTGGTCTGGCTGACTCCCAACGTGGGGGTCAATCAATGACTGTGAATTTTTAATTCCTTTGTTGAACGAGAACAGCTGTTTGGTAAGAACTACAGAGGGGCGGACCATGACCATAGTCTTGTCTTACAAAAAGGGGGCGCTGCAGAAAACGTTTGAGAAGCACTGGACTAAAACAACTCAAACAAACTTTTTGTACTTTGTATCAAAGTCAGTGCTTCTGATGTAATGTTTTTTAAAAAAAACTTCTAGGAAAGTTTTCTGGGTAATTTCGCATAAATGATTAAAATACAATCAGTCAAATGAATTATTGATATAAACCATTACGATCTAATTAAAATGGCAGTTGGGTCTTTAATCATGGTGACGTTGTAAATTCCACATTTTCACAGTTCCGTCTATATATTTAGGTACAAAAAAAATGATATGAAAAACATAATTAATCCCAT